TGAATACAGTGTGCAGAGCTGACCTGAGTTTACCTGCTCTGGGACATCAGCTTTGATGCAGAACAGGGCTAAAGTATAGATGTTTTCTGTTGTATTAAAGCAACACCCTCTGCTGCAGAAAGAGCAACACATTTAAGCTCTGATGTTTTCATAAAACCGCCACTAACTCAGAATCAGAAAATCGAGAAAAACCCGATGGTTGTATTTCTGCTGAGACAGAAACACTCAATAAAAATCTATCATTTAAATGTAAAGCAACAAAAACACCCACAAATTCTTCGACATTTCAAAAAGTCTGGATTGGTGAAAAGGGTCTAATGTTTTTATAGTCTTTTCAGGGCTCCATGTGGTCCCTGTTTAACACAGGACCGGCCCTGGCTGCCCCCGGACACGGCGGTGCCCGCGGGAACTCACCCTCCGCTTGAGTCCGGGGGCCGGGTCGGGGGCCGAGCAGGTCGGGACGGCGGTGGCTTTGAGGATGTGGCTTCGGCGGCTCTGAAAGGCGTCTGCCTGGACGTAGTCGTCGTCACTGAAGTGTTTGTGGCAGACTACCAGCTTGCTGAGAACGTGGTTCGGGGTCTTTGGGTCGATGTTCAGAATAAACAACCACTGTCTGAGTCGCTCCGGGTTGCTCATCGGTAACCGATGGCAGGTAATCCCAATCTGCTTGCTGGAGCAGGACTCCACGCAGCAATAGTTCACCATATTTTACATTAAATTCGGTTTAAACGGCACATGTAAACACGCCCCTCCTCACAACAGTGGAATTTAAGTCCAGCGCGGTTATCTTCTTCCTTTAAGCGGCAGGATGGGTCGACGCGCATAGCTCAGTGCTGCCCCCTACCGTTCACTCCACAAACATAAAACTACTTCTTCATTGTTAGGTTAGAAAACAACTTTAATATGTATTACCGCGAATTTCTAAAATGCCCGGAGTTTTTTTCTAGTTTTTTTTTTTAAATTATAAAATATAATAAATATAATAAAATACAATAAAACAACTAATATATCTTAGACTCAGGGGCAGATTTAGGAAATTTGGGGCCTTAGGCAAAGACAGGCAGGGGTCCCTCTGAATTGAGAAGACAGCACATAAAACAGACTCACTATACAGATAGAGAAATGTTAATAGAATAGACATCCATTATTTGTTCTAGGTTGTGTCCGTCTCTTCTTGTCCCTTTTCTCCTTGTTTTCCTCTCTATGTTTTGTACTCAGCTGACTTTTCATGCTGTCTCTAAAGGAATGAAAGATTTTTTCCAAGCA